ATCATTAGAAGACATAGCTACTAGGACCAGTTCTGTTTCAGATGAATGAGTCTGAGAGAACAGACCTCTGTGAGACGCCATTGTCTGATTTTACTCTTGTTTTTACAGCGGGGATTGCGACATGTCTCTTTTCTCTAACCTCAAAATATTACATCACATCAACCACACACAGGCTGAGAAAAAGGAAGCTGACCTCAGGTCTGTGTCATGTTCTCATGGATCACTGGGACAAAAACAAAATGTGACAGACAGAGAAGTGAAAACCAGAAAAGCTCGCTGACTGGCACGCCACAGCGCTCAAACGCAAAGGTCAGGCCTGGATCCTGCTGCGAGCTGAGGTGTTGATCCCAGAGGACAAACAGCCCTCACAGAGGAAGTGCTAAGCCCCGCCCATCACACCGGTCACAGGGCTTTGAACCAAGAAACTGCCGCCTCATATCACTCATTAGTCACGTTGCCCATTCACGCAACACGTGCACGCTAACACAGTCAGTGTGTGTTCTCGCTGTGACCACAGAGCACATGGCCAACATGTGGCCCACATCTGCACTGCCCCTGCTGAACATCTGGCCAACATGTGGCCCACATCTGCAGCTCTGGGCCACAGCTGGGTGTGCCTGACGCCCTGCGGTCGCAGCTGTGCCTCACGTGGGCCAGGAGTCAGGTGCTCTGTGACATCTGGGTCATGCAAACATGACCTCTGGGCCATGAGGGGCGCAGTTACCTGAGCTCTGAGTGGCCAGGTGCTTGGCTCAGTGGCGCCACCGCCGACTTTTTATCTTTGACGTTCTTTATAGATGCAGATCTGAGCGTGCTCAGACCCTGGACCAGAAAGAGTCCACTGCTGGAAACTACTGTCCTATGAACTGGATCTCTGACTGATGATGACTGTGGTGTAAGGCGTGTCCCACCTGACCATTGCAGGTGTTCCTGCTGTCGTAATAAGTCAAGCTCAGTTAGGAGGTCGAGGCTGAGTTTGATCTCCAAAAGCTTCTTCAAATCTGTCCAGAGCAGCTTCACTCACACTGCACACACGTGTTCCTCCAGCTTCAGGTGATATTCCCAGGTACGACACCGTGATCCACAAGCGCAGCTTTCTGTCCGAGGTGGATCTAGAGGAGCAGACATTTGTCCTGAAACCTTTAGACGGCGCTGCAGGTTTCTAAAGGGATGGTTGGAATCTGGACACCAGAAACCGGAGTTCAGATTAAAGGTGTTTGGAAGCTGAAAGTGATGACTGGGTGTGCTTTACAGGTGAAGCTGATGAGACGGCTTTCACCCTCAGAAGTCCAACACATCTTTGAGCAGCTGGGAAACTTTCAACTGCTGCGTTGGCATTCACCACTTCCTGCCAACCGCAAAGCACTTCCTGCTGAGATTCAGCACAAACAATCTGACTAAATCTGAACAGACGGCCCAGGTGTTTCCATGCAAACAGCTCTGTGTTTGCTGCCATGGTAACGGCCCGGCGACAAACACTCGAAGATTACACGAAGCTAAAAACGGCGGGGCCAACAGATGCGAAGGGTTCAGGTCTCTGCGAGAGACGGCGAGGGTAAAACGGCGATGAAGAAGCAGCGACTGCGTCCTCTACAGGAGCACCGCAGAGAGGCCAAACCCTCAGAGCTGCAAACCACTGCAGGACCTCCTCCACCTTCTCTGAGCTTACGGTGGAATGAGGCTGGGAGGAAGCTGCAGTTTGACCAATCAGGAGCAGCGTGTGGGGCGTTCAGCACACATGCAGGTGTAACTGGAACACCTGTGAAGGCCTTAATGCTGAAGCACATCTGCAGGTTCAGGAGCAGCCGCTGCCTTTCAGACCTGAATGCGTCTGCCTCAGTGTACCCCGAGCTCCGCCCACTAAAACCCCTGGAGCTTTAGGAACCCAACGACAACATCTGGCTTCAAACAAGAAACCATGCTGCTGAAACTTTATTTAAACATGGGGATTAAACTTTATTACCTTCATGAACAATAGCGTTGCCTTCATTTTTGTGCTCGTGTGTCATGTTTTGAGGGTTTTCCCAGGAAACATGAAGAACAAGTCTGTTGATCAAAACAGGAAGTTTATCCATCACAGCTGTTTCTAAACTTTATTAGTTCTTTCTGTTTAACAGCAGATATTCTTTATTGATGAGTGATCTGAAACAGCAGTGATGATATAACCCTGATCTGCTCTCTGTTTATAAACAGTGTGTGTGTGCGTGTGTGTGTGTGTGTGTGTGTGTGTGGGTCATGTGACCCAGCCAGGCTTCAGGACCCTTCCCGGCCCCCCCCTCGTGCTCGCTCTGCTGCCTCAGCTCTTTCAGACTCTTTGTTTCAACAAAAGCTCCAAACACAAACGCCGGCTGAACAAAAGCAGCCATGTTTCCAGAGCAGCCATCCTCGCATAAATCCCGGTGGCGAGCGGGTCTGAGCGGTTTGACACTGGCAGGTGCTGATCGTCATGCCTCTGCCCCGACGCCGCTCATCCTTCCTCGGACAGACGGCCGCCGAGCGTCCACCCTCTGCCTCCTGCGGGAGAATGGGCTCGGCAGGCACCTCTGCCCCTCGCGGCGTCTTTGTAGGCTCCACCCCACCAGCAAGTGTTCCCTCTGGCCTGGGGACGCGGGTGTCACGGCGAGCTCTGGGCATCAGCAGCGTGTTCCTGCAGGGGATGAGGAGCAGCACGACACCAGTGCTGCCCCGAGGCAGCGAGCGAGCAGCGGGGAGCGGTGCGGCGGCGGGACTGAACAGCTGTTTGATGGAATACCGCGACAAAGTGAGAGCGCTGGAACAGCTGAACCAACAGCTGGAGGAGCAGATCCGCCTCTGCCTGGACCGCAAGGCCTCGAGCGCCGGAGCCTGGGGACCCCTCAGGAGGGAGTGGGAGGAGGTTTACAGACAGGTGAGGGGGGAGGGTCTAAACACCTGGCTCCATCGCCACACCGTCCTTCATCCTATCGGCATGCTGCTCTCTGAGGTCAAAGGTCAACTCAGGCCTCTCCTTTCTTAGATCGTGGTGACAGTGACGCGTACGGCCAAACTCACCTCCACGTGCCTCGCCTAAAAAATCCTAAAATACAAAAGTCACCTGAGGCAAAAATGTGAACCTAAAAAGTGTGCACGAGCAGCCGTGCACGAGCAGCCGTGCACGAGCAGCCGTGCATGAGCAGCAGTGCACGAGTAGCCGTGCAC